GACATTGTCTCTGATGTCACAGTTCAGAAAATCGATGTAGTATGAGACGGATTGGAATCATGATTTGAATTCATTGCTAGTTAACTGGAACAAATTTGCAGTATACATGAATTTAATTTTAAGTAAAAAATTGAAACTTTTGTTAATCTTGATAACGGGATCGATTTGCTGCGACGAAGCATCAGACATACATTATCTCATTTTTTCCCTGTAATGTTATGTTAGATTCTTACTTACATGTATAAAAACGATTTTCGTGTATCTGTAATTTACTTTAAAACCTGCATAATGTTTTCACTGTATTGCCTCGGTGAGCTAATAGTATGTCCATGTAGCTTATGCTTCCATGTGTTTAACGTAGTAGTTCTGATTTTGATCGACATGAGGCAAGAATAACATGACGATTCTCTGTATAAGTTGACCAACATGACATCAAGTACTGAACCTCTTTTAAGAACATCTATATCATTCTAATTAAATTTGAGCTATTCGAATGCATTCAATTCGATCCAGAAACTTAACTGAGTTGAACTGACCACAAAGTTTCGGAATCTATTATTTTATCGAATACAATTACTCGGCATTTCTTATGATCTATCAATGGGTTGAGATTCAAACGAAGAATTTCTTAGATTTTCATAATGTTAACTACGAGAAGTCATAGTTTTTCTTCAATGACTTATGCTGAGTTAATTTACCCAGCTCTTTCTTATATGAGCTCATTTACAGAGAAAATATTGACACTTTTCGGTACATTGAAATGAAAGATAGTTGAAATAACTAAAAAAATTCTAAAAGTACAGCTTGTATGTGTTAGGATGTGAGTGCGGATGTGAATGTGAATTTAGATAAGACACACACTCATACCTTGTATTCTGCTGTTGCCATCGTTATCAGAGTAAATCGTTGGGTAACGAATGCTGGATTTTGTGCGATAGGATCCAGGGTCAATCGCTCTTTTAGCACCATTTACTTTGCTATGAAATCGTAATCTTGTCTGACATGATTCTTTCTTTCTCTGTCTCTCTCTTCCAATAGCACGTGTTCATGTTTCTCTTTCTCAGCAGTAGGCAGGTTGCGTAAATAGAGTTTTTTTATTTAGCTATTCAAAATAGAATTTTCTTTTCGACAGCAAACGTTTCGAGAGTATTGTCAATGGATGATGTGCATGTCTCACAATTGTCTGTTTTAAACAAATCGAATCGGTTTGAAAGACTTCTGGTGGAAACGGCTCGTTCTTGGCATCGAAATAATCCGTTCGTTCTCGACTCGATAATCGACTCATTGTAGCTGGATATCATCCGGACGAAGTTGATTCAAATAGAAAATCACCATTTTTCCATTGATTACAGAAACTAAACACACTACTTGAACACGATACATTGGCAGCAAGAAAGTTGTCACTCTGATTAAACGTGTTTCCATATTACCAATCGTTCTATCAATCGAGTCCGAAGAGAATGCACGTTTTCTCATTGACATTTTCATAATACTGCATGCTCGATGTGAAATTCATCCACATATTGTAATGCACGCCTGTCATTCGCATCGAAATACGCACCTGTTGAGATGATCGATCGTAGTAGATCACACCGGAACTGGTATAATCAATATCCAGTATACCGTGAACAAACAATGTCGGGAAACTTAGAGATGTACAATAATCATGTGGATCATTTTGCAGTTTAGCTAGTTGATTAGTATCCACAACAGTCTGTATGGCATTTGTTGAACTTGCTGTTAATGGAATGTCAGAACACTGATGAAATGTCGTGCTCTAATCTTCTTCGTCGAGATTCTTTGTCAGATAGCGTACTCGTAAAACACAATGATCGCACGACTGATTCGGTAAACGAATCAGAATCGAAAAATTCGTTTGTGTATTATGATTCATTGGATAATAATCGTTAAAGGAGACCAACGTTCGAAAATTCGACTCTTCAGGATCGAGTCCCAGAGTAAATGATATGTCCAATTGACCTGGGTTCAGCGAATAATAATGGTTCAGATGCTGTTGAAATAGAACGGTATATTCTTTACCAGTTTCTATGTCGAGGAATTGAAGTCACCACATGGTGCCAACTTTTGATAGCAATCAGATGAATCGAGTGGGTTCAAACTGAACTTTCCACGTTGCATCGGTTGCCATAAACAGATATGACCGAATGTTGATAAAACAAACAGCAGCAATGACAGTAGTGCAATGAAGAAGTTGACTAACATCGTTGATGTTTGTAGAAAAGAATGATAAAAGCAAATACCAGATAACGGGGGATATATGACAACAATATTATCATTAAAAGAATAACAAAAAAACGCCTATGATACGGTTATTGTCGTCTTTAGATTTTCAAACTTCTAGCTTTGCAGAGCAAAAAAAGATTTCTATTGATTAAAAACACTGTAAGTCTGTCTCCAGCATTTTGCAACAAAATTCAAGATGCATCTATAACCATTTGAGCTAAATCTACATCCTACTCTTCTGATGGTTTGAACTCAAATACTTTTGCAAAATACTGTTCTTATTGCAGTAGCCTTCGGATAGTCATCATCATTTTTTTATATGTAGCCGAGTACGCATCTAAATGTGGGTGTAGGTGTTGGTATAAATGTTGACGAAATAAATAATCACAACTACATCCACACCCTTGAAATCTTCGACTCATCGAATAAAATAATCTCTTAATGTTCATTCCAATTGATCGACATGATTTCAAATCTAAGAATATCGTTGAAAAATTTGTTGAACTCTTCATATTCCTTGCTTTTTTTCTTCGACAACATTCGAAAATTCATTTGATCATCGTATGTCAACATAATAATAAAGAACAATCCATTCAAATAAATCTTGACGAAATTTGAGATAGTTGCCTAAAAGAAACGAATTCGATGCTTTCGATATAAATTCATTGTGATTGAATACATGATCCAAACAATTTGTTTTTGATTAATTTTTGAAATAAAATAGTTTGATTGAAGAAATAATCTTTGTAATTAGCTGTATTTCCATATCTTGAGCGTTGATTACATCTGTATTGGGTTACTTTGTCAATAAATACTTTATCTTGAGAATCAATATTTGTTCTTTTCATTAACATTTATCATTGAAATTCAGTCGCGAGTTGAATTCAATTAACCTTGATGCGTTTGAATTAAGTTTTATTCGATATAATTTTTGAAAAATTAATGAAAAAATTCAAAATTAGTGAAGAGCATAAGAAAATTTGAGGGTGGCTGTGGGTGCCGGTGCGTGTGGTTATAGGTTTTGGTCTTCTTTATGTTAATCCACATCCATACTCACATCCTCGCATCTGAAAACTTATGAATCATCCTGTTTAGCCGTATAAGTTTTTATGATATGTATACTTAATGAACAATATTTTTTCTCATTTTGTAATGAACTAAAATCATGATATAGCTTTGAGAAAAATATATCAATTTATAAAAATAAATGACATTTCTTAGTTGAATTGAAAACGGAGCTTATCATAACACGATATTTGCTTCTTCTTCACTTTTGGAATTTTAGATATTTTCATTATACCTCTGGAGTTTTCGCCATATTCTCAAGATTTCAAAGAATTCCGACTATACTCCCATGGAATTTGGTGCCTTAAAAATCCATATTTTTCCCATTGAAAAGAAAACTTTTGTATTTTCAAAGGTGATGTTATTGGTACATGATTTTAGATGAAGATGTTGCCTTCATTAAACACTTGTTAAGATATGTCAATCGATGCTACATTTTACACTGGTTGCAGATATATTATTAAAGTTTTCATAAAAATATGAAATGTCACTTTCTGCAAATAATCTCTCAGTATCTTGTCATTTGTTTGTGTAATATAGTTCGTCATCTACAGAGTTTATCAATAGGATTTAGATTTCAATTTTGCCAGTTAAGTTTTATCCTTATGTAACAGCAAAACTATCTCATCAATGAAAAATATTGTTCTTAATAATCAATTCAAGACCGATCAATATCATATAGTGAATAAAATAGCCATGTCAGATAAATTTGAGTAGTCTAATTGTTTTACCATCATTCACTTTTGATTCCTCATTTTTTAAGAATCGATCAAATTTCTTTCGAATAAACTTTAAAAATAAACATGAAGGGTGTCCCAGAAGTTCTGAAACGATTTTAAGAATTCACCGTTCTTGCATTCTACAAAAGCAAATTCGCTGAAACTTTGGTAGATTGTTGTACATATGTGGTACTACATAACTGCAAAGTTTCAGGTCTATAGCTTGTACTATGGATGAGAGCCTAGAACAACACTGACATGTACTATTTNTCATCAGTATTTAGATTGTTGTGTTCATTTTAATTTTCCTATTGCGATAAGCACGCTGTCCTTTGTAACAGATTATACATTTCGTACAATAATGGCATAGCAGAGATTCTTGTTTGTGCCATCACTTCCGATTAAGATAGCACGTATAAATATTCTTCTTACCATAGAAACCAGAAAATGGAAAAAAACTGATAACTTGAATAAAAACATCTAACAAGAAATAATTCACTGAGAAAGCATGAATAATGAAATTCCTCATGATGGAACGCACATGTGAGTGTTAATTAGTTTGATGATTTCAATGAATATGTTTAAAAACGTCATTTGAATGAAATTATTGTGATTATTGGACTTCCTGAATATGTTTGCATTAGATTATGCTTTTGATATTTTCTAGAGCCATAGGCACTTATTGAAGGTGTTGCTTCTGGAATGAATCATATCAGAAATACCGATGATTTATAGAGGTAATCAGATAAATGGTGTAGTCACAAGTTTCTGCTATTCGGCCAGTTTGAACTCGTGTTCATCAGAAAAGATAATGTTTTATCATGGATGAATAAGAGAACATACTAACTTAGTCTAACATTTACATTTGCAAAATAAAGCAGTCTAACTAATCAAGAATACTATCTCTAGTTTTTTTGTCTTTGCAGACTTTGAAATTTATAACTAACGATCAGAATTTCAATCATCCTCGACATGGCCGAAAGTAGCAAAGGAGATAATATACAACATATTGTGCGTATATCGGATATCGTGAAAGAATCATCTCTGATATTGATGCCTATTAGTGGCTACGAAGAAGTGCCCCTAGTTCCACTCGAACTCGCTGTCGAACCTCTGGTGCCTATATTACCTAGCATTCAAAGTTATGCATACTCTGCCAAACAACGATGCATAGATCCTCCACCTAATGGAATGACCATCGATGAGTCGGCTTCTATTATGCTGTATACAATGGGATGGAAACCACTTGATAAATGCCTTTATGCCGTATTGAATGCAACCCTCCGATCGGAAGATAGAAACAAACTCGAACCATGGTTTCTCTATCTGAAACTTTTTCTCACTGCTTTATCACAAATCCCGTCTGAACATAAACTTCTTTTTCGTGGTATCAAATCAGATTTACATCAAAACTATCCCAAAGGGAAGACGATTATATGGTGGGGCTTCTCATCTTGCACTGCTTCCGTTGATGTTTTACAATCAGAACTATTTCTGGGCACCACAGGAACAAGAACTATGTTTACTATTCAATGTGATTCGGGCAAAGATATAAGTAAGCATTCGTATTTTCCAAATGAAGAGGAAGTACTACTTATGGCTGCAACGCAATTTACTGTCGCTGGTTGTCTCAATCAAGGTAACAATCTCTATACAATTCAACTGAAAGAAACAAAGCCTCCTCATCCTCTTCTACAACCAATAACAAATCTCTCCAAATCGAAAAAATCATCTGCAAGTAAGAGGAGAAATTTTCAGTCGAACTTGATAAGCTACATTAGCCAAACAACGCGAGAACTTTACTAGATGCATCGTTCTTGAGTTATCAGCCATGCCAGCTCATTCTGATCTCTTTTCTTCGAATTCTAACAAGCGGAAGTGCAATTTTTCAGATAAAAATTTAATGATTTATCTTTCTTGATAGAAGAAAAAAGTACGGGTCATGTTTTACCAAATGCATCTAACAATCACCTGATTATTGTAAACAGAATTTCGAAAAGCATGACAGCCTAAGAAATAAACTGTTCTTCTTCAAGTCATTTAATGTTAACAATATTTGCTATCGGTTGAAATCATTAAAGAAAAACAGTCTTAGTCTTACTAGGAAGCTTCTTCCGATGTAACTTACCATTGAGATCGACACGAGGTTATGTGTATTAGGTAAGTTTTAACGAGTCATGACTTATCTTAAAAAGATAGATACCTATAGCCTGTTTCTGACGAAATATCGGATTTTTAGTGAAATTTTTAATAAAAAGCCATGGTCTCTCTTGGGTCACGTTGAAAATCGAAAATCGAGTTTCGTCTTCAACCTTTGTACAAATAAATTGCTCGGTGAAAGAATAGATAGTTTATTGTGATTCTTTCATTTGTCTTGATATCTTCTATTCGATAATATGAATGCAAACAGAAAATTTGACTTTTTACCTAACAGAGCTTTCAATATTTATATCTCTAAATAAGAGATACTAAACTGAATTAAAATATTACACTCAACTACAGTAGAATCATAGAGAACTTCATTTGTGCAAAAATTTGCAGACAAAACTCAAACTTCAATTTTTAAGGTGACCTGAGGGAAATGACAACGTCTGTGTATTGAGGATTTCACTAGAATTTTGAAACCTCGATAGCAATAGGCTACGGACAGTCACTATTTTATGTTAAGACATAGCTTGTTGAGGCCTACCGATAGTCTATGCTCCTTGTCAAACAGAATATTATGCCTAGAGAGGCTTTTTCGTGAGTAGTGTCTCGCAATTTTTCTTTTGACAAGAAGCTTTCATGATTTTTTTTAAGGGAGAAGGTATACACTTTCCCTCTGTGGTTTTTTTATATGTTGTAAAGCTAACCGAGTTATATATATCTTGAAATTGTTATGATTGATCGAGTCTTTTTTTTTGACGAAGTTCTAGAATTTGAAAAATTGATTTTCTGCTGGAATCCCAGCAAAGGAAAAAATATTTTGAAAATTGTTTTGCACAACTTTTCCAAAAAACGAAAACATCCCCGTGAATAGTGTGAGAACAAAACTTGTAGTAGATTTGGGAAAGTTGTACTCTAAAACATCTAAAATTCAGTAGGTGTATACTTTCTTTAAGGCTCCATGTTTTTCAGCATTATGCTTTCTGAATCTTTTGTATTGAAATTCAGGTTTCTAGAAGATTGCAGCTACATAAAATAACACATATGAGTTGAGCCACTTTTTCTGCAAAATTGGCATAATAATAGAATATATTTCTCTTTGCTCATTTCAAAAGATAAGTTTTTAAAATTTTTAACTGTGTACTTTTTTCACTTGCTCAAGAAGAAAATGATGATCAACACATACTGACATCTCAACATCGTCTAAAATATTCGTCTGGTGGCGATGGTGAATTAATTGAAAATGATCTAGTTCATTCAAATAAAATTGAAAATCTAGAATTTTGTCGTGATGGTGGCCGTTGTGAAAACATGGATGAAGAACATTTAAAAGCTTATCAGCATGTACCATTATGTAAATATCGTCGTCAATGCCTCGATTATAATCGTGGATCACTTGAACATTGTCGAAATTTTCGTCACTGTATACCAATGTGTCGCTTTGGCCATTTTTGTGTAAAATTTCATGATGAAAAACATATGAGCGAAGAAAGCCATCCATTTCAACCAGCATGTCCATTAACTCCATTCCATTGTCGACAATATAATAGTTTATGTGATACGAAAAACATCAGAGCATTACCAATTGATGTTCAAAACCATTGTCTACAATATTCACATGTATGTCGGTACGGTCGCCAATGTTATGAAACATCGGATATACATTGGAAAAGTACAATTCATGTTGCCCGCAATGTCTGTTTATTGGGTGATGAATGTACAGAAATCGATCAAGAAAATCATTTAAATTCATTTTCACATCCAGGTATAGCTGACATTCGTCGATTTTGTCCTTATCAAGCTTATGATTGTCGAGATAGACAAAAACTTGAACATATTAAACAATTTCGGCATTTTGGAAATCATGATCGTAGTGGTGTTATTGGCTGCTTTGGACAAAATAAAGCGACTAATTTCGTTGAAAATCAAGACAGAATTGTTCAAGCAATAAGAAAATATGCAAAAAATTTAACCTCAAGAGATACATTATCGATTCCATCAGAAATTCAAAAGTGGATTAAAGGTTTACAACCAATTCATCGATGTTCAAAAGTCATTTTTGAATCGATACTTGTTCATGGTCATGTTATGTCTCGTGAACATATGGAACATTTGAAAAAACCATCTTTTGTAGCTCAAGCTGTTCAAGAACATAAACGTGTACGTGCTATCTTTGACCGCTATAAAATGTCAACAATAGAAGATCATGCTAAAGAATACATTCGAGCTGTTGTATCTCTGGAATATAGTAAAAAATATGATGCCGTTGCAACAACCGGAGCTGGTACTGATCATACATTAATGCCAGTTGGACCTAATGACTATGATGATACCATACGTAAAAAAGAAAGAATTTTTCAAAGTTTGATTAAGTCAGAAGAAGTTGATACAATAAAAAAATGTGCCATTAATATTGCTGAAGCCTCATGGAATCTTCATAGTTCTCCAAGTGGTATTGGATATTCGAATGATAAAGAATTAGGTACGGATAAGCATGTTTTTAGTGTCCTCGGACCACATCTAGGACATTACTATGGAGATATATTTCTTGTATTTAAAAGTGAAGTTATGTTTCATCCAGATGCCAATTTTTCTCCTCAAGCAGCTACATCATTCTTGAGTGGAAATACATTTGCGCATCGACCATGGGTCAAAGATCCAAGTGCACGTCCTGCAAGGATACAATGTTTTCATGAATCAAAATTGCATTGTACTGTATCAGGATATGAATATGCAGCAGCAGCAGAACTAATAGCCGTGTCAGGATTACAAATGAAAACAATGAATGTTGACCTGAAGACTATTATAGATCGTTGGACGAAAGTTGATTCACATCAAGTATTTGAGGCTCATTTACCTCGATTGGTTCCGCTTGATTATATCGAAGAAGTATACATACCAAGGAATCTTTTTGCTTCGCTAACTCCAACAGCTCAAGAATCAGCTGTAAAAGTTTTTGGTGATGCGCTTCATATTACAAATCATAATATTAATCTTAATGATACTGGTGGTGGAGTTTCAATTTTGTCGGATAAGAGTCGTTCTGACTATCAAGCTTTTGTGATTAGTACACTGATAAAAAAAATTGAAAAACGAAAGGAATATGCACGACATTTTCGCGGTTTTGTTCTTACTCTAGCTCCAAGTCAATTTACGGATCACATTGTTTTACCATTAACAATAAACAATGCATATAATCAATATTTTCGAATTTATAAACAAAGTTCGAATTCTGATATTGTATATATTTATTGGGAAGCAATGCATGGTGATATGATGGTTACTCTTTCGGATGAACCAATTAATCCTGATAAAAGTCAACCACATATTCGATGTCTCGTGTGTTATATTGCTGAAAGACCATCAACAACATCAGCAACCAATTATAATGAATCATATTCATATTTAAATGCTGGTGAACCATATCGACATGGTATTATTAAGACTAATGGACAATGTTCAAGTAGTTCACGTTCATTTCATCGTGGTTGTAATATGGAAGAGTTTTCAATGTATTGTCTTAAAATAGAAAAGAAAACAGGTCAAGTAACACTTTCACATGCTGGATCGAATAGTATTTATTGTTATGAAACAATAACATGTAAATTTTCTAAAATGTCTCTGGATTTAAATAAATTACAATACGTTCATGTAAGCGCCGGTTCACAAAAAGTGCCCATACGAGACTTAATTATTAATTTTGAACAGATTCCCGATTTACATCCATCATTTGATACGAATTTTAAACGAGGCGATGATGCTTTTCCTCGTAGAAAAAAAACTTTTGTTCATGATCGTTCGACATCTTCAAAAACACCACAATTATCTGGTGATAAGACTCTAACAACGAAGTATATTGCTGCAAGTCCAATTGACCATTCTTTTGATTACGATATCGATGGTAAAAGTCTGAATCCATGTCCCTACTCGATCAATTGTATATTACAAGAATCGTCGAAACATATGAAAGAATATTCTCATCCATGTCCATATTCTGAAATTTGCCGTAGTAAAGACAAGGAGCCTCATCTAACCCATAAACCCCATCGAGTAGAACAATGCTCATTGAAAAGTTCGTGTCAAAAACTTGGTGATCCTTTTCATCGAGCAAAGTATCGACACTTAGGCTATCCTGACTTTCTTATTCCATGCTGTGATGGATCGAATTGTCGTAATAAAACATCGCATCATCGAACAAAATATTCACATGGCGAACAGATTGACATAGCCGAATATATGTCCTGTAAGTCTTTGTCTACTTAATATTAGATTGAATGTCAAGTTTTTATTCCACTCTTTCTTTCTACTTAGATGAAACATCCCATAAACCACCATCAAAATACCATTCTGATTATCATGACACAGGATATACTCATGCAGGAAGAGATGACCAACGAACTCATTGTCGATACGGATCAGATTGTTATGATCAGAATAATACTGATCATTGTTCAAAATATTCACATCCTCTAAAATACGGATCTAAATATTCGACTAGTTCAACTTTTAAAAGAATACCTTGCCAGTATGGAGACAATTGTTGGCACAAAAATGATTATCAACACTGTTCGAAATATTCCCATCCTGATGATGAATAAAGCTAAGACTATGGAAATTCTAATCATAATAGGAGATCATACAAATTGGATAACAAATATCGACATACAAATTTTCGTCATTGTTTTGCATATTTCCATTTGAACTAATAAAAATAAAGGTTCCGATCTTTTGAGGATTGAATCTCGATTAATCAACATAAACATTTTTTAGGCGAAAATAAAATTATATGAAATGACCGCAGACAACGTTTAATTTCGTAGAGAAATACGTTGATCGATTCAATTTTTTTTTCTTATTGCAATGAACGATCAAGTATGAAGCATTTAAATTTTTTGATAGGAAAATAGATTCAACAAGCAACGTCCAACTAATGTAACAATTGCAATCGAATTTATTGTAAGCGTTAAAAAACTCACGAACAGTCGTCGTCATATCGTTTAGTTGCAGGAGAATTGTTGAAATTCTCAATAAAATAATTAAATCAAATTAAGAGACATTGAGCAAGAATCGAGATTAACGTGTAAAGAATATTTCATAAAACAAAAAGGAAATCATATGATGGTCTATTTCTCAAACGAAATAACAGTCGATATTAAATGACTTGTAGAGTAGTTTGTGATAAAACTTGATCTTAATTTAAGTACATAAGTGTTCTCTGTTAAAAAGCTATCAGTTTAAATTACGTTTTTTCTTGTTGAAAGATATTCATAATTTCTAAAGTATTAGCAATGAGCTTAAAATACTTTGCACATGCAAAGTGCATATTCATGTTTGAACTTTCTCGAACAATAAAGATGTTATGTTTATCTTGATGCTATAAAATATTATTTTGTCAAAGAAAAAAACATATAGGATCGTAATGAACAAAAATACTATCAGATGATCTGTAGATAGTAACAATATGAATCTCATTTTCTCCCGTAATCTTCAAGGACTTGATTACCTTCCACCTTTCATTTCTCTGAACTATTGAAACGTACCTAATGATCTTTAGCTCTTTTTTTCTCACCTCCTAATTGTTATAGCCTAGAGAACTAGCAACGAGAATTTCAATTTATACTTACATTCACTATTTTCTTCGAAAATATATATGATTTTCACAAAAATAATTTGAAATTCAACAATAAAGTAAATTGTATATTCTATTATCGTATCGTTTCTTATTATGTCATCAATCAATATTTCATTCAGCATGCAGATCGAGAACGTAGAAATTCTCCTCCGAGTATCCGATTAATTCTTTTGAAATTTGTACTTGTTGTATTACGTATTATGGTTTTATGCTTTTAAAAATACATGTTCGCCTTCTCCGAACGTTTGAAATTACTTCTCCGAAAGAGAAAATCTGTGTACAACATTCATATCAACGTAAGGTGTTTTTTTACACAGACAAAAGTTCACTGTTTAATGAATAAAAATTCATATTTATTCTGTGTATCTAGTTGCTATTCATGTCTTATCTAACCTTCAACTATAAGATTGTCTCTTTTCTTTTTCCTATTAGAACAAAGTATAGACAGATGACATCAATCCTAATCCATGTCATTTATCGTACAGTAAAAAGATATAGAATTTTGTTATTTTTTTAGAATAACAAGTTTTTAATATTATCATTCGGATAAGAGAACACAACAATAATAATTAACACACAAATATTTAACATAATGTTTCAGTATAAGTTTTTCTTGGTGCTTTTGCTGATACTTCATTCGAATAAATATCAAAATAATTTGGATTACTCCATTGTGGCGTATGATGAAAATATTGTGCTACTTCAAGATCACATGGATCATCAGATGGTGGTATTTTTTCACTTATATTATGTGACGGACGTCGGTAAAATTTAATTGGTTTAAATGCACTATTATTTGTACTAATAAAATCACTTATAGGTTCATATGATGAACGATTAAAATCATAATTCTTATTTATATATTTATATGGATAATAATTTTGAGACAATGAAGGTTTAACTAAATAATTTTGATGACAATATATATTATCATTAGGTGATAAGCAACCTGTAGTACGATTTTCATGATTGATTATCGTCGTTAAACGATGATAAGAATGCGAATTTTGTTGATTATTATTTCTATTTGTATAGGATAATAAACGACGTGATGGCTGATGAGAATAACAATTATGAATTGATGCATAATTTTCAGATGAAATTTTTATTTGGTTATCATATAATGGTTGAACATGTATAGAATGAATCATAGACTAAAAATAATTATTTGAATAATAATTCATTAGAAATAATACGAAAAACAAAAAAAATAAGAAATATGTTTTACCGGTTCCATGAATGAACTTCGTTGATAAATTGATGATGATGATGATTGTCGTAATTTTGTACGATTATTTTCTGTTAAATAATTTAAAGGTGTTGTTGATGTTGCTTTACTACATGTTTTAATAGGAGATAATCGATGATGATGATGACTTTTTTTTAATATTAATTTTGATTTTGCTCGTTCATATTGTTTACGTATAAAACTTGATATACGTGAAATATTTTTCGTTTGTAATGATTTATCATTATTTATTTGTACACAACATGATTGCTTATTAATAGTAGGCCGATTTTCACGTATGGATTGTGGTGATTCATTTGTTGATGATAAATCACTATGATAACCACTTGAACTTGTTGTTTGTGGAGATAGACGACGTGTATCAGTCATTTGAAGAACACGATTTGAATGCATAATTAATAATGAAATGAAATTATACTGTAGTTTCAGTTGTTGTTAAAATAATAATCGAAAAATAGCTCAAGCTAAAATAGAAAGAAATATATATATATATATATTTATTCAAATTCTAGTCTCAATATTGACATAAAAGACGTTTTTTTTTCTCAATGTCTTATCAGTTTCAACGCTCTATTTTATATTCAAAAAGGCAAACTTTTAATGATAATTTTCTTAGAGAAGCAAATAATCTATTGTCATACAGAGAAAAAATATAACATATATATATAAATCTACATTTGTACAGGCTATACTTGACCAAAGAAAGAAATAGATGCATGCAGTAAGCATTATGAGGAATAATTAGGATGATAAGTGACCTCCATCTAAACGTATGCGACTCTTAAAAGCAATATCCAATTTGTATGCAATGAAAAACGAACGAACACGACTCACGTTATATATACATATACATTATAAATACATACAATCAATGACACAAGTGTATTGAGCGATAATCGTATGGCGAAGAGTAGAACCAGCTACGGGAGGTATTCATCAAACATGATGATGATGATGATGATGATGATGATGATGCAATAGACTGTTCGATATATTAAAAAAAATGAAACTACTGTTGACTATATAATATATATATATATATGGCTTATTCGCACAAGACTGATGAAATCTCTAGGATCACTTAAAATGACTGTACCCATTAAATATAAAATGAATGAAAAACAAAAAAAAAAAGAAAAAAGAACGATTTGTTTGATGATATACATATATATGTATTTGCCATGAATCGTCTAAGTGAATATATATGGAGCTTGATTAGAAGGTTTCTAATCAAATGACCGCGTAAAATAGCAAGAGCAAAAAAAAAGATAAGCTGACAAAAAAAAAATTTTTTGATTAATAATTCAATGCTTCCTTTTTATGTGTCTTTCTTATAGATCGTTGTCCATGACAAACAAAAGGCATATTCATAAAAAAGGGGCTATAGCATGTATACAATGTTGACAATGAAAAAAAGTGTCACTTTGTTATGTATATATATATTTTTGACACGATAATGATAATATAGCGCTTGATAATTACCTTTCAATTTATGATTAGAATCGAGGTGATGTCGTTCCTTCATGTTTTATATGAATAATAATATGATACTGTTTCATAATATGCAAAGAAGAAAGGAAAAAAAAAACGTTGAAACTTATTTGATCTTTTCTATATGAATTATAACATTGTCAAGGTTTTAAGTAAAAGCTCAAGTCTAATTCTATGTTAATCGATTTTCTTCAAGCGAAAGAATGTTTAGACTACATATGGTCGTTTAAGCATCATCAGTATCATTGACATTCGTTGCTTTATATATATTAATGAGAAAAGAATGATGAACGTGTGTGAGATCCCAATCTTTATCATAAAAAATACATTTGCATATTTTCTCATATACATATATATATATGCAACAAAAAAAAATTTCTCTTATCAGTAAACAGCATATTTCTTTCTCAAGGGAATAACAATGAAACAGTTGTAGGACCAGAAACATAGAGAGAGATGCCGCATAGTGATGAACTCTCACAAGATTGCTCATTGATAAACTGATTTATACTTACACGATTAAGAAATACGAAGAATAATACTAATATTTATCTAAAATAATAGAAACAAAATTATAGTCGTTGTTCGATAACAATTTATAATTATGTAGATTAACCTATTGATATTGTTATTTGAACAAAAGACTATTATAGAAAAAGATGAAGTACATGTAAAGTTATATGAATAATGAAATAAAAACAATCTTCTTGCGTCAAATAGTCATAAAAATAATGAAAAAAAGTCGTCTATATGTGATCAAAACTCGATTACCTTACTATTGAATTATTCCTCTTGTCTTACTATCATCAATATAGAAACTGCCAGTATGTGTTCTTGAACTTTAACTGTATATATGTAAGAAAGACTTGTCGATAGTAGGATTATTACTGTACAACAAGAGCTAAAGGTTTCTTTCTTCTTCTAACAATCAATATAACTATTGATGAGAGAGAATATTCTGATAGAGACTAGCTAACAGATATACATCTTATATCATCTATCATGACAAACATTTGCTCAGCATACCAGACAATACGTTTTACTCGTGTCTTTGTCGATGTCCGTATGATGAAGAAAAATATAATAATAATAATAATAATAATAATAATAATATGAATGTATGTAACACGGTTGGTGTTTACAAACCTACCAGGGTTCTTTTTCGTTCTTTCTTTTTCATTCTCTTATTTGTTGATCACCAATTAACAACATAAAGAATCCTAATCCTTTTTCAGTACACATACATATTTATATATATAAAGAAGACAATGGTATGCAAGTCCTTGAAAAAAAAAAAAACTTTTTTTTTTTTTCTATATATTATAAAGGCAAAATAATTATATCATTCTTTTGTTTCTATTAAGCATTGCCTACTTTATATAATATAAAACTATTACTTATATTGAAATCATATTGTCTCGTTTCAAGTATGCATTAATAAGATATAATATTAAAGTCGTTGAAGCGATTATTATAGTATTTTGTTTTGTTAAACAGAAAATTAAGTCTAAATATGTTTCAATGACAATGATTTATGTTTGCATAAGAATCGAATTGTATTCTACAAAGTAATATATATATATATATACCAAACAATTTAAGAGTGTACCTACACAGGTGTATATGTTTGTACGTTCTTCAAACAAGTCGAAATTCTATGAATAGTAATAATATTGAAACAAACGTTATATATAATGTATGTAAGAAAAAGAAAAATAAGCTATGAAGAATCGCCTGAATGAACTGATGACGCAGAGCATGCATGTTATACTAATATGTGATAACAAGGGGATGATAACGTGCTACAATGATATGATAAAAAGAAAAGCTAAAGAAATACGGAATATAAACGATGAATGAATCAAGAAAGACCTTGACGTGTGTATAGGCTTGTCACTGAACGATTTACGCATGACGAAGTATTTTCATGAACATCAATGATTTAGTAATAGATCATACAAATTATGATTAAAAAAAATTGATAAATATATAAGCAATATTTGAAGAAAAAAAATGTAAGAAGATTTACTTTTTTTTTTTTTTTTATATCTATAACACCTTGATTATTGTATGGTTTATTTAGTTTAAGACAAAATGACAGTTGTCATTCGTTCTATCTATCGTTAAGAAAGATGATTGAATAGACCTTGCCGCCAAGGTTCAATACGTCTATCGGTAGTATTATAAATAATAGAAACAAGAAAAAGAAATTAACTTATATTATTTGCTAACGTTAGTTTATGTTCATTATCATTGCTATTCTCAAAAGAAAAAGAAATGAATGAATAAAATGTGCATTGTCTACAATTCACTTCATCGTTGTATTTTGCCTATAGGCAACATTTTATCGATTTAATTCAAAGTTAAAACGATACGTTTGAGTTATTCTATGTAAACGATTAATCGATAGGTGTTTGTTTGTCATGATTATCAGAGTGATATACGGAAAGATAATACTCTATGTTTGATCATAAAACAAAATGTCTTTAATTGATAAAATTAATGGTAAGAATACCTATATCAAAATGAAAATTAAATTTATTGAAAAGAATTTTATTCAATGAATTTTTTAAATTTATTTGAATAGACATACACGATATCGATACTCTTTACAATTGTTCAATATATACATTTCTCTATGATTATTTAAGATTGGTTGTTAATCAACACTTTTTTTTAATTATATACTTCAACTTTGAATTGATTCTAACTCAAATATTCAAATAATATTTTCGAATTCTTTATGACAACTTTCAATATACTATTTAATATGTTTTAGTAAACAACAATCAATCTATTGAATATGAACGTTTAAGTATTTAAAGAAAAAAAAATAGTCATATTCATGTAATAGATCAGATTTACTTATATGCAAAAGACATTTAATTATATGAGTCGATTAAAAACTACACAAATAAATAAATAGAATTTTTTATGCTAGATTTTATTTTTTAACATAAATTTATTATATTAATATTAGATATAGATGGGAAACACTAGTGAAAATGATTTGATTTATTTTGAAATCTAATTAGACTTACTTTGCTATGATGTAAAATAAAAGCTATTGAATTGAAAGATAGACAATGTTCAGAATAGTTTGTTCTAATTCTAATTCTTTCTACGTTATGTTACGTGGAAGATATAAGTTTATAATGAAATTTTGTGAACTTCTGTAATAATTATAACTGAAATAGTACAAACAATATATTCTGAGATTATGTTATGAGTATCAAATAAATGGCGAACATTTTGAGTTATAGTCATATTCAACTATTCAATCAATGAGAAAGAAATTAATTTGACAATAAACGGAAACGGAAAATATATTTCCTCTCTAGATTCTTTCTATTCAACTGTTTTCACAATGATTGATTTATCTGTATATTGAAACAAAAATCAATCAATGACTGAGATATAAATATTTAGCGTATTCATTCGATCATTTCGAAATATACATAATTAATTCAATCTAAAAGGTATCTTCGTTTTTCATCAACATAAATGATTTTACTTTTGTTTCAACACATTTTTTTTTTTGAACACTTTCACAATTTTACTGAAGAAACTATGCCTTGAAGAGGAGGAATTAAACCTAGCAGTAATGACAATATCCGACATTTTTAGGATGTGGGTGTAAGTAGTGTACTTCTTTTCTCCTGCACATACTCGGATTCGAGGACTGGTACCACCGACTTAATGCAAATATTGCTGATTGCAATCGAAATTTATATGTAGTGATTTATGAATTATGCGTTCAACATAGCTATGACAAAACAACTTGACAATAATATGAACAAGTCTCTATGAAATAGAAACAAAATTTTTCGAAATCAACAAATTTTTGATTTAATAAAACGATATGAAAAAAATTGGTAAAACAACTGAATTAATTATATTATCATTTCTATTGTTACAATAACTTTCTCTAATATAAAATTTATATAGCTGTTTTGTTTTTCATAAAATCCTGCTGAATAAAGAGACTACATGAACATTCGCGTTTGCTGCTACTTTGGGACATCAGCTATATTAAAATATACCTTTTTCATAGCGGTATGTTTCAATGTTTCAGTGAACACTGGTGTCAGTGTGCACTAATTCGATGATAGGTAAAGTGAAAGTATATATCCGTTACGTATAATGTCTTAGTTTATTAACTAATAATATGATAAAATTTAGATTTATCAACATTACGTAATTATTGTTCTAGATATTTGACACATGTTGGTTTACTAATTGGTACAGTTGATCCTGTTGCTGTTAATTTTCCTGTTATTTGATCAATTGTAAAAAGAACTAAATTATTTGAATCTTGATTAGCAACAATTAAAAATTTTCCATTTGGTGAAATATTAAAATTTCTTGGTGTATGACCTTGAACATTTATATGTTGAATAAGTGATAAATAACCTGTATTAGTATCAACTGAAAAAACAGCAATTGAATCATGACCACGATTTGATGCATAAAGATATTTGTCCATTGTTGGATGAAAAAGTATTTCGGCACCTGTATTTGGTAATGTAAAATTTTCTGGTAATGTTGAAATAATTTGAATTGTTTGCATAATTGGAAAATAATTATAAACTGTTATTGTTGATTTAAGTTCATTCATAAGATAGACAAATTTTTGATTAGAATTAAATATAAGATGTCGTGGTCCATCACCAAGTTTTGCTGCTTTTGTAATTGATGTTCGTAATAATGAACCATTATTTGAAAAAAATCTATAATGATATATTTCATCTGAACCTAAATCAGCACTTAATGCATATTCTTCGTTTTTATCAAGTAATATACAATGTGCATGAGCTGATGTTTGTCGCATTGGATCAATTGATGAACCTGTTTGTTGATCAAATCCAGTAAATTGTTTAATAGTACCATTATTTATATCAATTGGTAAAACAGCAACAGTACCATTATTATAATTAGCAACAAATACATATTCACCGGCTTTATTTGTTGATAAATAACATGGACCACTACCACGAGATGATTGTTGATTTATTAATGTTAAACGTCCTGGTTTAGTAGAATCGATTTGAAAAGCAGTTACCGTACCATTATCTTGTTCATTAGCTGAATAAAGATATTTATGCGACGGATGAATAAGTATATACGATGGATTTGTTGTTGCAACAGATAAACCTAGTGGTATAAGAGTTGACTTAATATCATCTAATGCAAAGGCATATATGCCTTTGCTCTCTGTTGGTCCATCTCCGCTATATGTACCAATAAAAACAATAGTAGGTGAAGTTTTAGTAAACCAAATATTTAAAGAAACTATTAAAAATATGAAGAATATTATGAATATAAAAATAAAATATAGATAATTTACTTGTAAATATAAGAAGCCAATCCCATGAAAACATAATGAAAAGAAAAAAGAAATGAAAGAAACGAAACCTGGTTAGCTTAAATATCAATACTAATACCCGATGATGTAAATACAGCTGAAAAATATTCACAATACATTTGATTATATATGTGATATTTGCTTGAAGTCAATAGATAAGGGCATATACATATGTTTTTTTTAAATTTTATTAAAGGAAGATCGATATATTTTTAATTTTAACAAAGTTGATAGTATTATGTAAAAGTATTAATAAGAATTTAAAAAATCTTAGATAACAGATTGTCACAAAAGTCAGCATCATGTTATAATACATGCATATAACTTCATTACTGATCAAGTTTGAATCAAAAGCTTGTCTCTCGCTTTGAAAGAGGAGATTAGTCAATTTTGATCGATCAACAACAAGTTCACAGAAAAAAAGTTGTAGTTTTCGTTACAAAACGAAAATTTAATTATTCTTTTTTCGATGTCAAGAACAATATGCACCATTTGTTTTGATACTTACATGATTTTTTTATTGTTTTCATAGAAATCTTAATCAAACCTTTCATTATAACTTTATAAAAAGTTGTTTCCACACACAGGCTGAAAAAAATACAGGTAGTCCGTATTTTAAATATATCGTCATTAGAAAAAAACATTGTTTTTTTACAAAGAAATTATAAGGTTTTTGTAAGTGCTCGGAGCTTTCGATTGCCCTATACATGTTTACATTTATGCACTATCGAAATAAATTATGTATGATGAAGATACCATCACGACAAGACTTTCATGAACTTAATTTTATCATTGTTATCAGAATTACTTTTTCTTAAAATTCTTCATTATTACAGAAACACTTTTTGATGTTGTGTTACGTTTATTTGTTGAAAACTAATTCCAGTAATACGTAGGCATCCTTCTAGATATAAGTTGATAGAAAATCTCAAGTTATATCAGAACATATAATTATCTTTTCTAAGAAAGATATTCACATAGTGTTGAAAAATTTTTAAAACGAATTTTGATAACAGTGACAATATTGAGTCCATGAAAAAAACTCCGAGAACACTACGAAATATGTTATTATTTCTTTTAAAAAATATCTTTTTATAATGATGTCATATTTCAAACACGAAGTAATTACAAATATTTTTTTCCGTGTATATACGTCTATACATTCTTATGAAAAGAAAGCAAAAGAAATAGTTTTAATAATAAGATAAGTTTTAAGAGGATTTGACGCTCTCAATTTCCATGACTATTAAGGTTCTCGACGAGACACAAACGCTCTATTTTAAAGAAATACACTAATTATTTGATCGTTTGAAAATAAGCTCAATAAAACATTGTAGAGCAATAAAAAAAGATCCATGTTATCTGAAGCTCATAATAATAGCAGACACTCGAGTAAATATTGAAAAAAAAATTGTTCATTTTGATTTTGATATAAAAAAAAAACATTCTAATTTTCTTATTCCTTTTGAAATAGAAAAATAAGCTTTTGAATACAGCTTGATCAGTAATGAAGTTATACGCATCTATAAAATGCTCATGACTGTCAGTAAATCCTGGAATGCATTCTTTATGTGAAGAAAATATGCCATATCGTAATAGTAACAAAAAAAACATGAAGTATTAAATATATGTCGATGTGGTCTTATTCCCTATTGTGAAATTCATTTTATTTGATCTTTTCTGTTTTTTACGCTGTTGTTGATCGTACACATATTTTCTGAAGGATATTAAAAGAAATTTAACAAGTAAAAAAATGCCATGTTGCTGAAAATCTTGTTTTTATTATTTTCTTCAGTTGAATTACTAGAAATGAACAATGATTTCAAAAATAAAAGGTTATACGTCTTATGCATTTTGTTCATGTTCTCAATGCTATTTGGAAATTTATTCAACGGTTGTAAACAATAAGTTGTACCATCATGTGAAACAATCACCTGTACAAAATGATGAAAAAATAATTTGATTTCATCACAAAAGTTTTCATTTCAAAAAATATATAATGCAAAAAACAAAACATTTTTATCTATAGTAAAGTGTGTATTGTTATTTAAGAACATTGGACTTATTTGAGTTAAATTAAATATCTCAGTGACAAATTAACTAATGAGAGAACGCTGTTGGCTGTATTCCAGAGCTTCCTCAACAATAGTAAATGGGTTTGGCAATTGAAGTCTAAAAACATGACTTGCTTAGAGTGCTTCAGAAAAAAGTTATAGCCACAGGGCCTTTTTTTGTCCAATTACCATGTATAAATAATTATTTACTAGCATGTAAGATATTGTCATCTTCTTCATAGATGATAATTAAAGTAAGAATATAACCTACTTTGTAAAAAGAGTATAGTTCTACAAACTGGTAGATTCCTTAATTTTTCACAAAGTATGAATGAAGAAAACATGTAACTATTTGAACTCTTGATGCTTATGCTTTAATATGTGTTTTTTGCTATAGTATTCCCATTTAGTTCAGAGAAAGAGTACTCAATTGTGAGTATGAGATTGATATGTGCAATGAAAAGGAAACTATTCAAAAGTCACATTAATTGATAATAAGTCGGCCACAAAGCAGCTGTATTCGTATAATAACAATGAAAAGAACTTTTTAATGTTTATGATCATTTATAAAAAAAAAGTTAAAACATAGAACAAGTCTAAATTGCCTGAAGCAAATAAAGCAAAAAAAAAAACTTCACGAAGACAGAACAAAACTCTTCATCAAAGGAAAAACACATATCCTGTATTTTCTCAAAATGACCAAGTTTTTTTCATAAATACCCACTGAAATACCACGAATAGTTGTTTATAGGGGAAATTTTTTTTTATATTAACTGATTGTGTATGAAGGATTGCATTTTAAGATACTGTTCCTAGAACTAACTTTTGTCTGCCTACAATGACTGTGATGAAATAGTTTTTGAATAGTTTCCTTTCATTGTATTTATCAATCTCATACTCACAATCGAGCACTTTCTCTGAACTAAATGGGAATATTACTATATCAAAAACACATATTGAAACATAAGCATCAAGAGTTCAAATAGTTGCATGTTTTCTTCATTCATACTTTGTGAAAAATTAAGGAATCTACCAGTTTATAGAACTATACTCTTTTTACAAAGTAGGTCATATCCTTACTTTAATTATCATCGATGAAGAAGATGACAATATCTTACATGCTAGTAAATAATTATTTATACATGGTAATTGGACAAAAAAAGGCTCTGTGGCTATAACTTTTTTCTGAAGCACCCTAAGTAAGTAACTGTTTTAGGTCTGCGATCATAGCACTTCAATTGCCAAATCCATTTACTATTGCCGAGGAAGCGCTGGAACACAGTTACGAACCTTTGCTAACGACATAAGAATTATAAATAAGAATTAAGAATGAAAATTTCTAGATTGATGAAACTTCAAAGTTACCTCGGTCAAGGAGGTACGGTCGTAAACATTCGGCTCCGGTGAGTTTCCAACGGTCTTCTGACGCCAGACCCGAAGTCCCTTCCCCTCAGTTTTCGATCTGATTCTCGTTATTTCCTGCACCCAAAAACGGCGACCAGATCCTGTTCTCATTTTCCGTACGAATTCGGACCAGAGATACGTACATCTGCCACAACTAACGGATACGGGGGGGATCCTATCGTTTTCCAAAACATATATTGCCGTTTCCGCAACCTAGATCCTAAACCATCGTTCCCAGTCTTCTTTTCTCGAACAGTTACAAATCATCCTCTTGCATCCTGTGATCCAAAAAAGAGCATCACCGAAGTAAGAATCTGCTCTCTCGTACGATCTTCTCTTGTCAGAGTGGTGTAAGCCGCCTTTGCATATCTTTTAATACGGATATGATCAAGTGTTCTAGTATGTATAGAGCATCTAGATGAAGAATGAGCATATTTGATTATTTTTCTCAATTAAAATGCTCACTTTTGAAGTATAAAAAAACGAGCAGTTTTCTGTAGACTTCTTGCTTTTTCAAGTTGTAGAAATTATCTTTGTTTCTCTTTTGAGACAAATATGATGGAGGGTTTCGTCGAGCGTAGATATTTGTTTTTGAATGACCATCGTTTGGACAGAATATCTTGCGTGCTTCTATGGGTTATATACCGTGCTGTTACACTTGATACTTGCAGCTCTAGGTTGAATCCGGGCGAATATTGTTCTAGTTCTACTGTGTTTCTTGCAGTTTCCTGAGATTTTGTGGTAGAATCCTCGTGATTTCCGTTATGTATATAATGCTGGTGCAGTATGATTAAATCCCTGTTTGCGATATCGTGGCTTTGCTGTTTGTGATCTTTCTTCCACCTCATAGTTTTCTGTAGCGGATTCCGGTAGAAAATTGAGAAGATGTTGCGTGAAACTAAGTAGCTTCCGTAGAAAGCCCACTAAACAGCCTTCATAAACAACTGGATACAGCCGAAATCGAATATTGTAATCGTTGAGTGTCAGTCGGATACGCTTTGTGCCAAGAGGTTTCAACTCGAATATTTATGTTTTTACGTTGTGTTTTCTATCGTTTCCTTTACCTTCCGATGGGATTCTGGTAGTTTCCTGCCGATTTGCCATTTCGACATAGCCTTAGAGAAAATCCATATCCGGTACCATGAAGTTTAGCGAATTCTATAAGAAACAAGCTGGAAAAGTCAGCAGATAATGCCGGTTCTGGTTGGAATCAGAGGCCGGAATCAACGAACTGGATAGTGTTCAAATTAGATTAAGAAATATATATTACTAAATTAATATTAAAGTTATGCTCAACTTTTATTAGTTTTGAGAAGCTGACACCGTCGATCAAAAGTCTCGTTTTTTTCAAAACTTTCCTTGAAATGATACTAAAAATTCAGAGAGAACGCCGTACATATCTCGTCACTGTCCCAGTTAGTAAAAACTCGAAAAAACCGACGAATGCTTAGTACATGCATTTGAACTGATAACTCATCTTGAGAGGAGTAGATTTGTTGTTCACTTACACTTTCATCCACATCCTTACATTCGCACTTTTACTACTCACAGTACTGTT